AATCTCAACTTATATTTAAAAACTAAAATTTTAATGCAAAATTTAAAAATTTACCCTATTAAATGTTGGTATTTAGATTTTAAAATTAATTGTATATTAGAATAAAATCACTTTTTTAAATCTAAATATTAATATTTAATAAGAGAAAATTTTAAATTTGAAATTGAATTTTAATTAGAAAAAATGATGCACTTACTTTAAATTTGAAACTTTAATTTATTTTAAAAATTAAAATTGATATACACTTTGTTTATTATATTTATTTAATGTCATATATCATACAATTATAAATTTATCATTTTAAGTGATATTATTTTTTATTAAACTTTCAAAATTTAAAAATTACATTAGTTTCATTTAATTTAAAATCAGATTACAATAAATTACATAAAAAAAATTTTAATGTCTATTACTTAATTTATTAAATTTAAATTTAAGATTTTATATAAATAATATGTCCATCCAGATTTATGATTTTATTTTATTTATATTTTATTTAAATAAAAAATTAAATTATCAAGTAAATCAAAAATCCAGGTCAAATGTTAAATCCCTCGCCATGTAAGCATGACATGGCAATATTTTGCCATCCAAGCAGCCAAGCGAGGTGTGTCCTCAACGGCAGTTAAGTTAGGCGAGCAATCCCAAACGGCAGTTAAGTTGTCGTAAGAAGAAGGGCTTAATTGCTTTGATTCCAGAGTTGAAGAGCTTATTATGCATTAATTAAAGTCTAGGGGCTTAATAGCGTGATATCAAGAAATGCTAATGAGAAAACAATAAGGAAGATTTATCGGAGAAAGAAAGATCCTCGATGTGTATTCCTCAATATAGATCTGGGTTACAGAGAAGAAATGAGAGATACAGAGGTTTAAGGATGAAGAAAAACCAGAATATTCTCATTCCCACAATGAGAAATCACATCATATATATACTGACTATAAGACAAAATAGCCTAACGAAAAAAAATGCAAATAAACAATCAAAAGATGCCATCTGTCCTGCACAGCTCAGCTTATTTATTTTTTTCCGATTCTGGGGTTAGTTCAGGGGCTTAACTTATGGTTTTGCCCTACTTTCACCCTGTAATTATGTTTGGTTTGAAGGATAGTGGAAAAGTGCAGGAAAGGGGAGGGATGAGTTTACGCTGTGAAATTTCTCCTGTTTCCCTCAAACCAATTTCTAAAGCTAGCACTCAACTGGTGCCCAAGATCTTCTCCGCCCAATTGCCGGACTTGGTGAGGTTTTTGGGGGCTGTTCCTGTTCATGCTTGCTCTTGTGGATACCTTGGAGGCCTTTTTCTTTAAAAGCTGCTGGTTCGGAAATCCTCTGCAGCAAATAAACGCTCCACATTCTAAAGAGGTTAGTCGCGATCTCCCTGGATTCGGATGAAAATTTTCCATGGATCCTTCCTCAGTCTTTTGTTTGATTTAATTTTACTCTGCTTTTTTTTTTTTTTAATTTGATTTATGCATGTTTATAGAACCAAATAAATATATTATTATCTGAATAATTCTGGAATTTTATTGAAGGTGGTCATAATAAAAACAGGAAAGAGTAAAATAATTAATACAAATCTTAATGAGGTTTTCCTTCCTGGGAACCTTGTCCTTGAAATTTTTTCTTTGCAATTAAGTTTTGCTCTTCAATTTTCTTCTTCTCTTGATCCAAAGATTTTCCGAGTTGAGGCCAAGATTACATCCATAATAAATTTCACAAAACCAGGAACCTGTAAGCAATGAACAAATTACATTCTAAATCTGCAGTTTCAAGATTCCTCCCAACTTATTAAGCATCCAAGATCAAATATATGACGACTTTTATTGGACGACTTGTAATGCTACTATACCTGAATGATTTGTTGACGGAGTTTTTGATTCTCTGTTTCTGAGTTGGAGAACTTCTCTTCAAGGCTGTGGCATCAGATAAAGAAAAAAAAAATCACAAATAACCCACATATCTGTCGTGGTGTATCTGCATTCATAAACTTCAGAAAGCCTTTAGATAATATGTGTGAAGCATAGAATTAGTAAAATTTTAGATGTGTCCCTATTGCAACATGTTTCCTATCTAACTTGGGACGGGCTGCATAAGATTTTTGTTATGGTTAACCTGTGGGTTGAAAAACGTGCTTTCAAGAGGAAGCATTCACTGCTAAAAGCTGTCACTAAAATTTTAGCACCGGAAGATTCACCATGACATTTCAAGCCCCAACTTATGGTTGAAACTGTCCAGATAACTACCAATTGAGAACGGAGACACATTATGAGGATAGGAGAGCTATGTTATAGAATAGAAAATTTTATGTTTAGGGATTCCTGGAATTTAGTTGTCTATCATAGTATCAGTGACAAACCTGTTCACAGAGTCTTGAAGTTGTTTTGCTTTCTTCTCTTCTTCTGTAAGCCTTTTAGTCAATTCTCCCTTTTCGGCCAGAGCAAGTTTTGCTTTCTTCTCTTCCTCGTTAAGCTTTTTAGTCAGTTCACCATTTTCAGCCTGAGCCTGAGTATAAGCTTGCTTTGCCTCCTCTACTTTCTGCTTATTCACATCAAGCAAAGCCTGCAAAAACTAGAATAGTGTTCACGACGTGCAGTCTCCACAACAACAGCAACTACCAATATCGAATAATAATAGGAGGTGCTTAATTTACTTGTAATTGCAGTTTTGCCGTCTCTTCGGTGTTTGCTTCTTCAATGGCTTTCTGAGCTGCCTCTCTTTCTTTGATGACCATCGAGTTAGCCTCTTCTTCTTGTAATTGTAATCTTGTAATCTCTTGGGCTTTTGCCTCTGACAAATTTTGAAGTTTTTCAATCTCTTGGGCTTTTTCCTCTGACAAATTTTGCAGTTTTTCAATCTCTAGGGTTTTTGCCTCCAACAAATCTTGCAGTTTTGCAATCTCTTGGGCTTTTGCCTCCAACAAATCTTTCAGTTTTGCAGTCTCATGGGCTTTTTCCTCCAACAAATCTTGTTGTTTTGCAACCTTTTGGTCTTTTGCCTCCAACAAATCTTTCTGTTTTGCAATCTCTTGAGCTTTCGCCTCCAACAAGTCTTGCAGTTTTACAATCTCTTGGGCTTTGGCCTTTGACAAATCTTGTAGTTTGGCAATCTCTTGGGCTTTTACCTCTGACAAATCTAGCAGTTTTGCAATCTCATGGGTTTTTTCGTTTGATAAATCTTTCTGTTTTGCAACCTCTTGGTCTTTTGCCTCCAACAAATCTTTTTGTTTTGCAATCTCTTGAGCTTTCGCCTCCAACAACGCCTCTGACGAATCTTGTAGTTTTGCAATCTCTTGAGCTTTTGCCTCCAACAAATCTTGCAGTTTTGCAATCTCTTGGGCTTTTGCCTCCAATGAATCTTGCAGTTTTACAACCTCTTGGGTTTTTGCCTCCGACAAATCTTCCATCCTCTCAATCTCTTGGGCTTTTACCTCTAGCAAATCTTGTAGCTTTGCAATCTCTTGGGCTTTTGCCACCAACAAATTTTGCAACTTTGCAATCTTTTGGGCTTTTGCCACTGACAAATTTTGCAGTTTTTCAATCTCGTGAGCTTTTGCCTCCAACAAATCTTGCAGGTTCACAATCTCTTGGGCTTTTGCCTCCAACAAATCTACCAATTTTGCAGTCTCATGGGCTTTTTCCTCCAACAAATCTTGTTGTTTTGCAAACTTTTGGTCTTTTGCCTCCAACAAATGGTCTGTTGCCTCCAACAAATCTTGTTGTTTTGCCAACTTTTGGTCTTTTGCCTCCAACAAATGGTCTGTTGCCTCCAACAAATCGTCTTTTGCCTCCAACAAATCGTCTTTTGCCTCCAACAAATCGTCTTGTACCTCCAACAAATCCTTCTGTTCTGTTATCTCTTGAGCTTTCGCCTCCAACAAATCTTTCAATCTTGCAATCTCTAGCCTTTGCCCCAACAAAATTGGCGCTGCTAATGGACTCAGCCCCAACAAAAATTCCATATCTCCTACTTTTGCCTTCAACAAATCTCTCTGTTTTGAAATCTCTTGGTCTTTTGCCTTCAACAAATCTCACTGTGTTGTAATATCCTGGTCTTTTGCCTTTCCCAGTAAAAGAAAAATAAGATACAGCCAACTATGACTAAGGAAGTTAGGAATAACTAAGCCTTAATGTCTAATTTTTCGTTTTACATTAGCAAAGAACAAAGGAATACTTATTTCTTAAGAAATGGAAGGAATCCATATTCCTAATTTATCCCTAGTTTAGTACAAAACTATCTTCCTAAGGAAGTTTCTTAAATTTAGCTCTTTTCTTAGTTTAACCATTATCTCCAACCAAACATGACCTTACCTCCATATTAGATGATCAAAGGAATAAGTGGCTGGCTACAATAGGGAACTAAATAAAATAATTTGCTGACCGTACTGCAAAAAAAAAAGCATTCTTATTGAGATCAACCAGAAATTTTAAACCCTATAGCGTGATCCGACAGTAGAAGCTAGTTTGTCTACCTTTGATGATTCTTTATGCTCAGCAAAATCATAGTCTTCATTTTTGTCCAAAAACTGCTTTTTGACTTGATAACTTGCCTTCAAAATAGGAAAAGGAATTGGAAATTACACTGCTAAAATTTTAGTTTTTACCAACAATATATCAGCAACATGGTTTGGTTTGTTGCTGAAAATATATATCAGCAACATAGAGCTTCTTGCTGAAAATTATTCCGTACATCTCATCTTCCAAAAGCCTCCCCACTTTCAGCAATGTACTTCTTGTTGCTGAAAGTTACTTTCAGCAACATGGAGTATGTTGCTGATATTTTCCGATGAGCCCCCTCCAATTTAAATTGAGCTATACTTTTCAGCAACATGTTCCTTGTTGCTGAAAGTGACACTTTCAGCAACAAGAGCTATGTTGCTGAAAACCCATAGTATTAGCAACATATATCTTGTTGCTGTTATTATTATCTTTTTACCAACTAAATATCAGCAACAAGGAACATGTTGCTGATATTCATTGACCGGTGGTTGGCCAAATCTATATATATATATATATATATATATACACAAGCCGTCTGCAGGGGGGGAGTACCACCACTTGCACTTTCAGCAACAAGATGTATGTTGCTGAAAGTAAATTTCACCAACATGCCCCTCGTTGCTAGTATTTTCCGATCATCTCACCATCCACACCACTTTCAGCAACATGGTTCTTGTTGCTGAAAGTAAATTTCAGCAACAATAACCATGTTGCTGAAAATCCTTTGACCGGTAGCTCACCAAATATGCAGCTAGCTCACCCATTATATATACACCTTTTCATTGGCAATATATACACACCTCTCACACTTCTCAATTCCTTGTTATTTCTCTCTTACTCTTGCAATTTCTTTTTTTTTATCCTTACATAATTATTTTTATATTATGATTTAAAAGTAATAATTTTTATAAATTTTAAAACTCTATTTTTTTGTTGCTTAATGGAGAGTCAAAAATATTTTGATAATCAATTGGAAAGTCAAGAATATTTTGACAACCAATTGGAAAGTCAAGATTATTTTGACAATCAATTGGAAAGTCAAGATTATTTTGACAATCAATATAATGGTATAATTTTCTTTTCCTTCCCTTATTTCTCATTTCTCATTTGTGCACCCCTTTTATTATCATATTACTTAACTTTATATTATTTTACACAGGAATCGTTGAGGATACTCCTGAATCATTATGGAATTGCCCATCTGAAAGTCCGTCCAAGAGGAAGTTGAAAAAGGAAAAGAATAATATATCAACTGACCAACATATTCCATTGCCTAATACTGTAAACTACTCTGTTTGACTCTGTTTGTCAAATATGTGATACTCCTGGACATTTAGCTACAGTTTGCCCACATCGATATGCTGTAACTTGTCAACTGTGTAACCGTGAGGGTCATATTGCAAAAATTTGCTCAAATCGTTATCGATCACCATCTTTGTCAAATCCACCCAAAACCCCTGCTGAATCCTCCGAGACTATTACAAAAATTTTTGGTAATGGTAGGCGTCTTACAATTGAAAAAAAGTATTGGGATGCTGCTGTTCAAAAATTACGATCCATCCAAGAACCATAATATAATTATCTTACTTATGCTCTTCAATTTTTTCTTCAATTTTTTGTCCAATTTCTCTTGTTTTCTTGTGATTATTTTATATATTTTGACATCATAACATTTATTAATGATTTCTAAGTATTTCTCACGTTAATTATTAAAAATTTGCATGAAATTCTTTTACTTTGTGAACCACATAGTTCAAGAGTCCAATCTTACATAGTAGAGCCGATTGTAAAGGACTAAGAATCGATTCTCAACATAGAGAGTCGACTATTTGAAGGGAAAAAAATATGGTGCTGGGATTTGGTATTCCACTCTTCATATCGTAAAGTCGATTCTTTTGATTTAGAGTCGACTCTATCATGGAGAGTCGACTATAGGCAGCAGCAAATTACATTCCAGCATACTGGAATTTGGTAGTCGACTCTTCATATGATAGAGTCGACTCTATGATAAAGAGTCGACTATATGCTGCAGCAAATTAACTTCCCGCCTACTGGAATTTGGTAGTCGACTCTTCATATCATATAGTCAACTCTGAATCCAAAAGAGTCGACTCTATAATGGAAAGTCGACTATAGGCTGCAATAAAATGCATTTGCTGCTTACTGGAAAATGGGAGTCGACTCTTCCTGCTTGATAGTCGACTCTCATATGCTTGAAGAGTCGAATATAGGCCTATATTCGACTCTTCAGTCCATTTCTGCTATTTAATTTCCCAGAATTTGCTGTTTGCGTTTCTTTTTTTTTTTTTCATGAACATCAACTATATAAAAAATACTATTGAATCATTAAAACCACATGCACATCAAACTTTAAAACCACATCCACAAATTTCCATTCAAGCACACTATGGACTACCAACTTGCTTGCCATCAATGGAAGCACATCAAGAACATAATCAACCAATACAAATCATCACAATTATGTTATGCTCATTGATGTTAAAATCTGTTTTCAATTAAACTGCATCTAATGTCAACATTATATGTACATATTCAAAAATATAAAGTCAATACATTAAGAAAACTTTCAAAAGATTGTTCAAACATTAAAATGATAATTTAACAGCCATCAACAACTGCAACGGGAGGATTTATGCTTCCGGATTTGAAAAGGGATCAGTGGGTTGCTATCCGGAGGATGTGCCAGCAGTAGACGGATCTCCTCTTGTCCCTCGAGGACCTATAGGTGCTGCCATCTGACAGTCGCGAATGTGATCATCGAGCTTTGCTTCAATCCGTGCAAGTCTCTCGAGAATGAGCTACATTCCTCTCTGTGTAGTTAATCTCTGAGAAACTCGAGATGAAGTAGCTTGTGAGGGACCTGCTTCTTCAGTTTCTTCGGCATGTTCTTCATCATCAAACCCCTCACCTTCATCATCTTGTCCTCCTCTTCTCCTTTTCTGCTTCATTTCCCACGAATTTGTTCTTGCACTGAATACATACCCCATTTTGCTCAGTGAACTCTCATTCAAAAGCTCGTGACTGTGTAGGTCTCGGGACTCCATTCCACGCAAATCAACACCCGCATTTTCCATAAGTAATGTGATGAGAGTGCCATACACTAGTGCGAGTGTCGATCTACCCCTATAATACATCATTTGTCTCATAATATGGTGTCCTAAATTGATCCGCTTCTGATCAAGAATATATGCAAACCACACACAATCCGGACCACTAAATTTCCCAAAAGAACCTTGCCTTGGCAAAATTATATGATTGTAAATCCAAAACATTAACCGATTCTCCAAATTCAAGTGGTGAATGGTTAATGTTTGTCCCTCATTGTACTCATCCCCCATGATAAATTTCTTTGCTGATTCCTCTGTAAATGCATTCAATTCGATGGCTCCCTCATTTCGCAATTGCAAAACATCATTTATAGTTTCAGCATCAAATTCAAAAGTTTTCTTAAGGACTGTTGTTCTATATCCTCCATCCTCCGAATCACTCAAATTTGCATAAAAAATCTTTATCAACTGCGGGTAAACCTTCACCTTTCTACTTACTAATTCAGTCCACCCCATTGCATCTAACATTTCTCTAATATGCAGCCCCCCTTTGCATATATCATCTAAAACTACTCTAAAACCATAAATGACTTTCCTATTTCCTAATTTATTATAGGCTTCTATAGCATTTCTAGATACAAAGTTTCGAGGGTGATCGGGTTGAAATACCTGCTTCGTGTCTATGCTTTCACCACTGTCCTCAAGACTTTGCTCAGCCTTTCGACGCCTTCCAGACATGCTTGCCGCCTGCCCCCTTGCTTTCTTTACAACTCTTTTAGTCCTCACCATTTTGTATGACCATGCACGAATCTTAGAGAAATGGACCGAAAATGGTGTGGGTTTGTGTTTGGGTGAGTTATTTTGGTGAAATTTGGGAGGATTTTGGCTGGGTTGAGTGTTAGGTTTTTCAGAGAGTCGAATAGGAGAGAGAGGGAAAATGGGGAAATCTGGAACAGGAGCGATTTTAATCAAATCCCGCGCCAAAGAGTCGACTCTATAACTTGAGAGTCGACTCTCACAAGCAAAACAGTCGACTCTATAAAATAATAGTCGACTTTGACGGGAGAAGAGTTTATTGCCCTGCAGCCATAACAGTCGACTCTGATCTGCACCAAAATGTTTCCTGCTCTTTGGAATTTGGGAGTCGACTCTTTGTATTATAGAGTCGACTCTGTACTGCACCAAAATGTTTCCTGCTTTCAGGAATTTGGGAGTCGACTCTTTGTATTATAGAGTCGACGCTAGTGCCTATAAGAGTCGAATTTACATTCATAGAGTCGAATTTACATTCATAGAGTCGACTCTTTACTGGAATTCATGATTATTCCTAATTTTTCGCAGCAACAGTCGAATATATAACGTAATTATATTAAAAATAATTTAATATTAACTATTTATAATATGACAATAATTTTACTTTTATTATATGTCATCAATTATATTAAAAAAAATGTCATGTATAAAATTTAAAAAATTATGCAAACTCATTTAGTTGATAACCAACATTAATATTTAACTTATATATTAATGGTATGTACTAATATTAATTTACATTCCTTTTAACTCGTATTTTTTATCTAAAATATTTGATTTATTCACATTATATTTGATGTATTAAATCATTTATACTATTAATTTTATATTTAGATACATATTACTTCAACTATTGTATTTTTAACTATTAATATTGATTTAAAACAACTGCACCCAAGAATCCAAATCCGAATCTTATATTTTGGGGAGTGTGTATGACCGTCACGTCCATCCTCACGTCCATCCATCTGTTACTTGGAATCTTGACTGGAATATAATTAACTTTCAGCAACAAGCATGTTGTTGCTGAAAGCCTCACCCTTTTAGCATCACACTTCATGTTGGTGTTGTAACTTTTCAGCAACATAGTGCATGTTGCTGAAAGGCTCATCCTTTTAGCATCACACTCCATGTTGGTGATGTAAGCTTTTAGGTCATCCCGACCTCCCACACACTCTTTGCTTTCTATACCATTCTTCCCCCTAAAACATTGCTGCCATATTTCCTCCCATCTCTACTTCATCTTCCTACCAGAATTTGCCACAATCCGAGAAAGCAATTAAGAATTTTAAGGATTATTTACAGTACAAGCTTTCATATTTTCGTTCATTAAGGTACGTTTACCATCTTCCTATTGTTTCCTTATATTTTTTTCTACCCTCTTTAATCTTATAGTTTAAATCCATTATCTTTTGTATTTATAACCCATTTCTGTTTAGTATTTGATAATTTATAATCTACATACTGTGAAATAAACATCTGCAATTTGCATGTATCATTTCCCAATTGCCCTTCGTTTTTATTTTAAGAGCAAGTTTTATTTCTCATTAGTTTTCACCATGATCTTCATTATATTTGAATGTTTTCTTGTATATTATAGTTTTTGCTTCTATCATGAATGAATGAATGAAAATTACATTATTTTTTACTTATTATTGTTTATTATATTATACATAACTTACAGAAAAAAAAATAGTAGTTAATACAAATATTATTATATTGTAAATACACATTTGTTATACAAAAATTAAATATTAATATGAAATTTTCGGTTCCCCTTAGATGGCATTTTCAGTAAGTTTTTCATTAGAAATAACATAATGGTTAAACTCCAAATTTTGCTCCATACATTTAAAGGGTGTGTACACTCTTCATATCAAAATTGGTTTATTAAATTATAGTCCCTAAACTATTAAAAAGTATACCTTATTAGTCCTTTTGTTACTTACCCGTTAACTTTATTACAATTTGCATAATTTTAAATCCTTAAAATTTTAGTATAAGTACATTTCTATCCCTCAACTTTTAATATAAGCACAATTTCTCCCCAAACTTAAAAGCTAATTTACTATAGATATATATATATTTATTTATTTTTTATGCAACCGATGATTTAATTAATCCACAAGAAGGTGATTGACCCTTTTTTAGTCACTGGATTTGGTTCAACCGGTTTGACTGATCGGGTCAACCAGTCAACCTAATAAATAATATTTAATTCATTTGCACAATTATAAATTATTTTTACATTAATTGATTTAATTTTTAAAATTGATATAAATCATTTTTATTTATTGATTAAACAAATTATTAATTTTTAAAACTTTATTTTAAAATTTATTAATTTAAATTTAATTTTCTTCATTAAATTTATTTAAATATGTAATATATATTTCCTTTAATAAGCAAGTAAAAA